ATTTGTTTTTACCCAAATGGCATCACATTCTAATTCTCACACTTTGAAAGAAAGCTGCCAATGGAAAGTGCGGCCAGGATGAAATCTTGTTGTGATAAAGGCCATCCCTTGGAGCCCTCTATGCAGGGGTGCCCGAGGAGCCCCTTGGAGCTGTGCTGGGCCTCAGCAGCAGTGAGCAGCCAAGTCCCTGCGAGTGGAGCCTCTGCCAGCCAGGAGCTCTCCCATTTGCTGCACTCACAGCATCCCTGCAGATGGAACAGTGTCACTGGATCTCCCCCAGCACTGCTCTGGTGGGGACCCTGCAGGGACGGGATAGTCACTGGGGACCCGCAGCACCCACATACCCCCCATCCACTCTGATGGGGATCCTGCAGGGACAGGAGTGTCACCAGGACAACCCCAACACCCACCGACCCCTCCTTCCACCTGGAAGGCGGTTGTAATCAGATGGGGGCTTGTCTCTTCTCCCAGGCAACCACTGACAGAAGGAGAGGACACAGTCTTAAGCTCTGCCAGGGGAAGTTTAAGCTGGACATTAGGAAAAAATTCTTTACTGAAAGAGTGATCATTGGAAGGGGCTACCCAGGGAGGTGGTAGAGTCACTGCACCTGGAGGTGTATAATAAAAGACTGGATGTGGCACTCAATGCTGGAGTTCAGTTGATAAGGTGGTGTTAGGTCACAGGTTGGACTTGATGATCTCAAAGGTCTTTTCCAACTCAGCTGATTCTGTAATTCTGTGAACTTTGGTGCTACTGCTACTTTTCCTCTCCCAGAGGAGCCTCTTCTACAACAGCCCCTGGAGGAGGGGACAGGGACAGATCCGTGTCTCCCCGGGGCCCTTGGAGGGGGTGGGATCGGGAGTGGGAGGTGCCCACCTTGAGATTGTTAACTGGGAAGCTGGGGGAAGAGTCTCTTTTTAGGGCTTCTCACAGCCCCCCAGCGGGTCCTCCCATCTGGGTCTGGAGGGATCAGAATCAGCACACTCAGTACTCCCAAACCACCCTCCTTTCCCTGGAAAACATCCCCAAAGGTGACAGATCCTGCCAGCATCTGGTGCAACCAAGCTTTGGGTAGGCAAAGTGGGGCTCAGGGGGGCAAAGGAGAAGGAGCAGAGGGGTTTATCCTGCTTCTGGTTCAATGCCCAGTGCTGATGCCCAGTGCTGATGCCCAGTGCCAGGGTCCAGCCTCAGTGCCCATCCCCGCTGGCCAGTCCAAGCGTCCAGTGCCCAATGTCAGTGCCCAGTACTGGTGGCCAGTCCCACTGCCCAGCCTCATGTCCAGCCCCACTCCCCCAGCCCCAGTCCCAGTTCCCAGCCTCATTTCCCAGGCCTGGTGCCATGATGCCACTGATCTAGGACAGTCCCCACCCCAGTCCCAGATGGGTTCCAGCCCCACTGCCAGCCCCAATACCAGGTGTGTGCAGATGTGTGCCAGTGTCACCCCCCATCCTGGGGGACACGGGACAGCCACCAGTGGGGCCCAGGGCCGGACAAAGACACACCAGTCCTGGAGGAAGCTGAGGGATCAGCTGGTGCAGCAGCAAGAAGGAAGCAGTGATGGGGACAGTGATGGGGATGGTGACAGTGATGGGGATGCAGCCATGCACAGCTTGGTGTGGATCCTGGGGCATGGCATGGGGCTTGGTGTGAAGTGTGGCGTGGGACACAGCACAGGACACATGGCACAGGGCATGCTATGGGTTGGAACATGACCCTGGAGCATGGCACAGGACACAGGACATGACACAGGACATGGGACATGGCTGGAGAGCACAGGGACATGGGACATGACCGTGGAGCATGGCATAGGACACAGGGCACAGGACATGGGACATGCCATGGGACATGATCATGGAGCACAGAACAGGGCTCATTCAGTCCCAGTATCATCACCCTGAACCTCCTCCCACCAACCCCACTGAGACGCCCACTCCAAGCCCTGGGGACACCAGGATCCCCTGGAAGCTGGGCCAGCTCTGGATGCCCTGGAAGAGGGCATTGCCGGGGCAATTGGTGTGGCTGAGCTGGCAGTGGCCACACAGGGTGAAGTCGGGCTGGACACAGCCAGAGTGGACAGCACAGCGCTGGAGTTCATGCTGCATCAGGGCCAGGGTGTCGGGGTCCAGCAGGGTGACCGGGAAGTCCTGTATGATCCCAGTGCTGAAGCCCTTGGTAGTGTAGTCCTTGGTGTGGGCACCAGCCCAGTGCCACCCCCAATCCTCCAATAGCTGTCTAAGCCCACCATGAAGCCACAAGGACCTGACAGTGAGGACCCAGTGGTGGGAACCGTGGGGGGACAGTGATGGGGACTGCAAAGGGACAGGGATGGGGACCATGGGGGGCAAAAGGGACCACAGAGGATGACAGGGACCATGGTGGGACAATGATAGAGACAGTGAGGGCACAATGGTGGGGACTACAAGGGGACAGTGATGGGGACAGATCCTTCAGGAGGTGACAGAGCCCTCCAGAGTACAATGACATCTCCCTTGGGGGGTACCAACTCCCTCAGAGGGTGACAGTGAGCTGCAGCCAATGTTTTCCCAGTTGTGGGTGTCCTGGTGGAAGCTCTGCATGTCCCTCATGGCATGGGAACAGGTGCAGCAGCTCTGGCATGGCCTTACTGACTCCAGGGTGTGGTGCAGGAACGTGTAGCCCAGCAGGAGCCACAGCAATTACAGGGTGCCCCAGTAGGGACCAGCCCCCCACATGCAGTGGGACAAGAGGCTCCACATATCCCCTGAGCCCTTGGGGACACATCAGAGTCTACGTGGGGACAAGGGGCTCAGTAGGTCCTTGGGGACACGACAGAGTCCAGGCAGAGACAAGGAGCTTGATGGGTCTTTGGGGACACATGGGAACATCTGAGGAACCCTCACCCTGGATGTGGGAAGGTCCTCTTGGGAATTACTGAGGAGATGGGAATGGGCTGTTCAGGGTGTCCTTTGGCAGGGACATGAGGTGGCCAGTGTCCAAGGGACACAACAGTGTTGGCCATGGGGACGTGGTGGTGGCTACCTAGGGACTGCCACCCAGGGACCACCACCCAGGGGAGAGAGTGGTGGCCATCCAGGGGACAGAGTTGTGTCCATACAGAGGACATGATGGTGGTCATCAAGGGAAAACCATGGTGTCCACCCAGGCAGCATAGTGGTGGCCATCCACAGGACATGGTGGTGACCACCCAGGGGTCCTGAAGATGTCCCACTACACCAAGCCACCCGTCCCTGCCGTCATCTCTCAGTGCCCACCCATGAGAGTGACCCCACCCCACTCACCTAGGGTCCCCTCTCACTCCTTCCCACCCCATTTGTGCAGTGACAACCCCCATTTGTGTGGTGATAAGCCCCCTTTGTCTGGTAACAACTCCTGTTTAGGGGGTGACAACACCCACTTGTGTTGTGACAACCCCGTTTAGGGGGTGATATCCCCTGCCCATACCCATGTAGCACTCATTTAACTCCTGTGACACCCGACAACCCATGACCTCCACTTGCTGTGTCCTCACATCCTTCAGGAGCTGCCAGGTGTATGACAGCACCCACAGCATCCCCAAAACTTCCTTTTGTCTCCTCCTTCTCCAGCTGTCCTGGCCACACCAGCACCCCAAAATCCTGGTGCCATAACTGCTGGGGGGGTCTCCCCATTTCCAAGCCATTGCTGGTCCTGTAGTAGCCCTGGAGCAGCTTGGTCAGCAGGATGGGGTCTCGGGCCAGTCGTGACCCCAGGACCACCCCATCCATGGCCCTGATGACCACACAGTTGGGAACAGGGGACAGGAAGCCCTGCAAGGTGTAATTTTAGGAGTTCTCCACATGGTCCCAGCAGCTGCTGGGTCCCAGCAGCTGCTGGGTTCCAGCATGGTCCCATTGTTGTCACCAGGAAAGATGTCCCCAAAGCCTCAGTGATGGTGACAGTGAAGAGAGGATCAGCAGGGGGTTGAGGCTGGGGAAGGGTCACCCAGATCCTCCAGACCTCAACCCCATCTCAATGCTGGCAGAGAGGGGACCTAGGGCCACCATGGAGCCATTGGGGGCCAGCATGGCCCCATGATCCAGTGTCGCAGGGTCACAGCGCAGGAGCTCGGTCAGGAGCTGCCACTGCCTGGGAGTGAGACCTGGGAGGGGATCCCGGGGGTGCTCACCCAGCCCAGCCTGGCACTCCAAGGTGCTGCAGACCCTCAGCCCCCACCCCAGTGCTGTGGTGGTGGGAGGGGAGCTTCCCCGGGCCGGGGACTCAAGGGTGTCCATGATGTCAGTCACAGAGAACACATGGCATGCAGGACACCCCTGGGGACACCTGGGGGGACAGGGGTGGGCAGGGAATGGAGGCATGTGGGGGAAAGGGCGGGGATAGGGTTGAGAGGGAGAAGACACCCAAAAATGCATCAAAGCCAGTGGGAGGGCAGCCAAAATTAAGGGAAAGGACCAAAATGCACCTGAAATAGGAAAAGACCCCTAAACGGAGGGGAAAGACCCGAAAGAAGGGGAAAGAACCCAAAACAGGGTTAAAGGACCCAAGAGAGGGGGAAAGGACCCAAAGCAAGGAGAAAAGACACAAAACCAGAGGTCAAAGTGCCGTGGGGTGCTGTGGGGTGTCATGGGGTGTCCCTCTCTGTGCTGGCACAGGCGCAGAAGCTCAGTGCAAGGAACAGCCACGGGAACATCCTATGGGACACGGGGACATGCTGTGGGACACCTGAATATCCCACAGGACACAGCCCTGGGACCTCGGGGACTTTGGTCCCCCCAGGGGTGGGGGGCAGGGGACATACAGAGAGGGACAGGGACACAGGGAAGGGAGCAGGGTCACACGGGGGAGATGGGGACAGGGACACTAGGATGGGACAGGAACACACGACGATGGGGAAGGTGAACAGGGATATGTTCAGAGGGATAGGGACACACGGGTGGGGAACAGTGATACACAGAGAGAAGGGGGGACAGGGACACACACAGGGAGACGGGGACACTACAAGGGGGGGCGGGGGGGGAACACGATGCCACCAGGATACACATGCCAGCTGAACAAGTTCCCTGTCCCGCCGTGGCGCAATTGGTTGCTGGGACACACCGGCATGGTGAGAGGACAGCGGGTGGCACCTGCGGGGACAGCGGGGACAGGGGTGGAGGCGCCTGCAAAGGAACAATTGGGTGGTGGCACCTGTGAGGAGACTGAAGGAATGGGGTGGTGGCACTTGGGGGGATGGTGAGGATGGGGTGGTGGTACCAGCAAGGGGACAGTGGGGACAGGCTGTTGGCACCTGTGAGGGGACAGTGGGGACAGACACACATGTCCCCAAGCCTATCTGTGCCCCAGTGACACACATGTCCTGTTGTCCCCAGGGCCAGAGCACGGTGGAAGCCCTACAGCAAGTGGACACCTTGGTGGCCCAGTACCGTCATGGCTGCCTCTGGTGGGGACTTCCCTGGCTGCCTGTCCTGCGCCTCTTCCACCCCAGCACCCTCCGGCCACTCCTCAGTGCCTCAGGTAGGACATGGGACATCAGATGGGTCCCCAGGGCCACCCATGGGTGTCACCACACCTGGCACAGAGACCTGGCAGTGCCCAGGCAGTGGCCATATCAACCCAAGCCCATTATTATTAAAAGGTCCCCAGAGGTGTCACCATGGCCAGGCCAAATGCCACCCCATAGTGGCTACCAACCTGTCCTTGAGGTTCCTCAGGGCCACCCAAAGGTGTCACCATGTCCAGCCTCTGGTTGTCCCCAAGCCCTCGTCCTTTGGTGGCCGTGGGTGCTGGGTGAGGGTCCCCACCCCAGGGTCCCCACGTGAGGGTTAAAGGGTGCAGACAGGGTGGTGCCACCCCCTGTGTCCACACGCAGGGGACCTGATGCCACTCCAGTGAATCCCTGCCTACCCTGTCCTTGTACTCTGCAGCTTTCGTGGCCCCCAAGGACAAAATTTCCTACGGCTTCCTCAAGCCCTGGCTGGGTGAGTGGCAAGGGGTAGGGTGGGGACAGCACCCTGGGGTGTCCTGTGAATGGAGTTGGGTGTCACAGGAGTGGGGCCCCAGATGGATCTGGATGTGTTACAGGGGCAGTGGAGGACAGGGACATCACCCCTGGGTGCCCCCAGGTTGGATCTGTGTGTGTCACAGGAGACGGAGTGGTGGAGAACAGAGACATCACCCCTGGGTGCCCCCATGATGGATCTGTGTGTGTCACGGGGGACAGGGATGGTTGGAGACAGGGACAATGGCCCCCCTGATTGCCCTCGGCAGACCCCAGTGTCCCCTCCCCAGGAGAGGGGCTGCTGCTGAGCAACGGGCAACGCTGGGTGCAGCACCGGCGACTCCTGACACCCGCCTTCCACGGGGATGTGCTCCGGAATTACCTGGGAATCTTCAACCAGAGCACCCGCGTGCTGCTCGTGAGAGATCTGAGACGCGCATGAGTCCCCACCTGCACCCTAAATCATGAGTGCTGCATCCCAAACCCTGACCTGCATCCCAAACCCTGAGTCCCACTCCCAAAATTCTGTCCCGCTCCCACTGCTGCACCCCAAGTCCCGTCCTGTACCCAAATTCCATACTGTCCCATACCCCAAACCCAAACCTGCCCCCAAACCCCAACCCCACCCCTCATTCATCACTGCATCCCTGTTCCACTCTCCCACCCCAATTCTTCCCCCTCTCCCACCCCTGTCCCACTTCCCAATTTATCCCCTGTCCCTGATCCCTCCCCAACCCAGTCCATCCCCGCAGGCCAAGTGGAGGGCAGCAGCAGCGGTAGCTGGTGGGGGGCCGGTGGAGTTGGAAGTGCTGCAGCCCCTGAGCCTCCTCACCCTGGACACTCTCCAGAAGTGCATCTTCAGCCACGAGAGCCACTGCCAGGAGTGAGTGTCACCTCTCCCCATTGACCATCCTGGTGGCCCTGGTGACCCCACCGTTGTCCCTGCTGGCCATCCTGGTGGCTGTGCTCACCCTGCCATGGTCCCTGTTGACATCCTGGTGACTGCATAGGCCCCCCACCATGGTCCCCACTGGCCATCATGGTCCTATCATTGTCTCTGTTGGCCATTCTGGTGGCCCAAATGGCCCTGCTATCATCCATGCTGGTGGCCACAGTGTCCCCCCATTGTTCCTGGTTCAGGCGGCCCAGCGAGTATATCCAGGCCATCCTGGAGCTGAGCTCATTGGTGGTCCGGCGCCAGCTCCGGCCACTTCTCCACCCGTGGTGGCTCTACAGCCTCTCCTCTGATGGCCGGCGCTTCGCCCGCGCCTGTGCCACTGTCCACGCCTTCACTGCTGATGTGGTGCAGCGCCGGCGCCAGGCACTTGCCTGCCTGGGCCGCCAGGCCTGGCTGGACGGCCACCGGGGACGCAGCATGGACTTCATCGACCTCCTGCTGCTCACCAAGGTGGGGTTGTAGGGGTGGCCATGGGAACATGGAAGTGGTGAAGAGGGTGGTTGTGGCCATGGGGAGATGATGGTGACCACAGGGTGGTGGCCATGGGTCGATGGTGGTCAAGGGGATGGTGGTTATAGCCCCATGTCACCATCTATACCTGTGACACACCCTCCATGCCCAACATCGCCATCCACAGCCATGTCCGTACCCATGTCCTTGTCAATGTCCCCATCCCCACCCATGTCCTCACCCATGTCCCACAATGCCACTATCCGTGTCTTAGTTAAATGTCTTTATTTTTACCCCAATGTTTGAGTGAAGGGATGAAGAAAAATGAAGGAAAATCAAAGCCAAAATAAAAGGATTTACGTGTACATGCTGGCTGAGTATCCATGTGCCTGAGTGGGTAGAAAGGACCTTTTCTAGAGGAATTTCCACTCCACTGCCTCCAAAATCCTGGTTTTGTGCTCCAGTCCATCACCATTTGGCTGTGGAAGATGCCTGTGGGCCAGAGACAATTAGAATCACGGAATGATTCAGGTTGGAAAAGACCTCCACCAACACCATCCTTGATGCAACCCGAAGAAATGACTGGATGCAAAAGGTGAGACTTTTCTGGGGTCGAAAGTAAAAAACTGCTGTCCCCTATGAAATTCTGTTGTCAGGTTGCAACCCAATCCATTTTTCTCTGGCTGCGTCCAAGTGTCCAAGGGGAGCCAGGAAGATGTGCAGACCACCAGCCAGGTATCTTTCTAACAGGGATCACCAGGACCATGGATCACCAAATGTCACTGTGGACCATCCAGTGGGGGTCCTCCAGTGGGAGATGGAGTTGGAGCAGCGCTCAAAGCTCTTCCCGCACACGGGGTACTTGTAGGCCTTCCCTTACTGATGCCTCCCTTAGTGTTGGGTCATGGCAGAGTTCTAGGAGAAGCTCTTCCCACACTTGGGACACTGTTAGGGCCTCTTCCCAGCGTGGATCTGATGGTGGGTGATGAGGTTGGAGTTTCTCTTAAAGCCCCTCCTGCAGTTGGGGCAGCGGAAGGGCCTCTATTCTGTGTGAATCTGCTGATGCTTGAGGAGACGGTATCTGCTCTGAAACCTTTCCCCACACTCAGGACACTCATAGTGCTTCTCCCCAGTGTGGATCCGCTGGTGGGCAATCAGGTTGCAGCTCTGGCTGAAGCTCTTCCCACATTCCCCGCACTCATAGGGCCGCTCCCCCGTGTGGATCCTCTGGTGGACAGTCAGGCAGGAGCTCCGGCTAAAGCTCTTCCCACATTGTGAGCACCTGTAGGGCCTTTCCCCAGTGTGAATTGTCTGGTGGATGATCAGGCGAGAGCTGTCACAGAAGCCCTTCCCACATTCCCCACACACATAAGGTTGTATCCCAGTGTGGATCATCTGGTGGCGGTTCAGGTGGACACTGCTCCTGAAGCCTTTCCCACATTCTCCACATTTATAGGACCATTCATCAGTGTGGGTCCTCTGGTGGAGGATCAGGTAGGAGCTGATGCTGAAGGTCTTTCCACATTCCCCACACTCATAGGGCCGTTCCCCAGTGTGGATCCTCTGGTGGACGATCAGGTCAGAGCTGTTACGGAAGCCAGCACCTCAGAGCTCTGGCCAGATCTCTGGCTGCCTTCCTGGCACATGCTGGGTCTTTCCTCCTCAGAGCATCCTGGGCTGGGTTTGGAGCCCCTCCTTCTGAGGGATCTCCGAGGCTTTTCCTCCTCACTGGATTCCTCGGGGATTTAGTGCTGTGAAGCCACTAAAAACGGCCTCGTCCACGAGGTTCTGCCGTGGGGATTTGTCCTCCCTGCTCTCCATCCTCAGCTCCTTGTCTGCAGGAGAAGGACAAGGAGAGGATGGGATTTGCCTCCGTGCCAGAGGGAAGGAGAAGGAGATCCCCCCA